ACTGGTAGTTTGGCAACATTTTGGAGGCGATAAAGGTTACTACCTGGGACTTTGGTAATAATGTGAGCAGTAGTTCCGATTACGCATTATTTTGTGGGAGGGAAATGAGAGATCATGGGATATGTCATGTGATATTAATGGACGAATTACGGTTCTTTAATCGGAAAAGGGGGGGAAATCGGGAAAAAGAAAAAATCTGGAAATTTTGTATTTGGCTTTTATTCTGTGTTGTGTGAAACAGTGTTGGTAATTTTTGGATCCCATGGCCGTAACTCTAAAGTGAATTCGAAATGGGTATTTAGTGGTATTGAAAAGGGTAGTAATAAATGTTTGTTTAAGGTTGTGCGAGATAGAAATAAAGATATTTTATTAAGTTATTTATTTTACCTGGTACCTTGCTGTGAAATATAAGTATGATTTTAAAGATCCTGAAACAGAAAGAAGAAAAGTTTATCGGACACGTAATCAAGATTCTGAAGAAGATTAGGTAAGTTAGTATTTTTAATTATTTGAGGATATTATTTTTATGCATTGTTCTAAATGTAAGGTGGAAAGGAATTTGGTATTATTGGGAAAATTTTATTAGCAATGATTTAGTTTAAAGTAATTAGGATTGTAAGGTAATTTTTATTAATTTAATGTATGTGCTCATTTATATTTTAAGTAGTGTTTTGAATTAATTATATTTTAATGAAATGATAGTTATTTTGTGAATTTATGTTTGTAGGAATTTGGTATACGTTTTTAGTTGAAGTAAACGTGCATGGAAATAATTTAAATATCTGACACTAAGTATTTGTAATGGTTGCGGTATGAATTCGTTGGTGACGTTTATAATATAATAGATGATTTAGAGGTAAAAGTTTTGGATATTTTATTTATTTTATATGTGGAAATGTTTCATATTTGGAAAGGGTAAATACTTTTTTCGCGATCAGGTAATTTCATATATGTTCTTTTTACCGGGTTTAAAGATTGAGAAAATTGTCATGTATTTTCGTGAAATTTTTCTAATTTATGAGAAAAAAGAAAAAAGCAGTGTACATGGATATAGTGAAGAGTGTGCGTAATGCCATTTTTGTGCAATTCTGGGATGTTTTTTTAAGTAAAAATAAGTTGACGTGTACATGGTTTAGTGATATTTTAATTAAATGATAGTTTTTTTGTGAATTTTATGTTTGTAGGAATTTGGTATACGTTTAAGTTGAAGTAAACGTGCATGGAAATAATTTAAATATTTGATACTAAGTATTTGTAATGCTTGCGGTATGAATTCGTTGGTGACGTGTATAATGTAATACAGTCAAAAGTCGTTAATTCGGATACCCATAATCCGGACCTCAAAGCTACAAACTTTCTGCGCATGCGTCGCTTTGACGCACGCGCAGAGGCGTTTACCCGTGCGCGTAAGACCTTTACGGCTGCAAATATATGCCTTTACGCATGTGCGTTTAATGTATAGCCGGACGGTAAAAGCTAAGCTAAAATTATCTAATTATCTATTTCAGTCGCATTAATGTTGCAGATTGCGTTGTTCCTTAATCTTCGAATTGGATCCGCCTTATTATTTTTTGCAGACTGTTAGAGCAATTTTATAAAAGTAAGCTTGAACTTTCGATTATGTCAAATAGAATTTCCGATATATATTTACTAATATGTATAGGATCTACAAAGCAAAAGTATGTTTCGAAATCTGAAATCTGTTTATCAATTTCACACTACTCTGCGGCGGGGGGGGGGAACCCTGCGGTGCGCAATGAATTGAAAGTTGATCTGTCAGCACTATCCTTATCTTCAGGGCAGATGTTTTTATTTTATTTGGCTTATAATTCCTTACTAAATGTAGTATTTCATGTCGGATGTACTCCGTCTTTGATATGATTTAAAGCAATTATAGGATTGAACAGCGGAACTTGTAATAAACAAGAAATTATGTCTGTTTAATAGAATTAAGAGAAAGTATTTCACATGAAAGGAAGCATTTAAACAACTTACATTGAAAGAAATGTTTAATAAAGTAAACAAATAAATATTAAGCTTTTCGTTTTTGTAAATTTTGATACCCTTTAGATCATAATTGTTCTTTATTTCATAAACTACGGTTTCATATTTTTAATTTTGTAATTTCTGCATGTCATCTTACCAGATTTAAACTGATGATCTATAAACCTGAAAAATCGATAATCCGGAATCGCTGAAGTCCTGACGAGTCCGGATTAACGACTTTTGACTGTAGATGATTTAGAGGTAAAAGTTTTTGGATATTTTATTTATTTTATATGTGGAAATGTTCATATTTGGAAAGGGTAAATACCTTTTCGCGATCAGGTAATTTCATATATGTTCTTTTTACCGGGTTTAAAGATTCAGAAAATTGTCATGTATTTTCGTGAAATTTTTCTAATTTATGAGAAAAAGCAGTGTACATGGATATAGTGAAGAGTGTGCGCAATGCCATTTTTGTGCAATTCTGGATGTTTTTTTAAAGTAAAAAATAAGTCGGTGTGTACATGGTTTATGTGTATGTGTTATTTTGAATAACGCGTAAGGAGTAGGTATTGTGCATTTTTCCCCAATTTTGCAGTGAATATTGTCATGATAAGCAGTTTTGTTTGATAAAATTCTAGCATAAGTGTAATTCGGCTAGTAGATTGTTGGAAGAAGTGTTCAGTAGATAAAAAGAAAAGAAACATGTCTTTACTTCGTGAAGACAAAATGGCGGCGGGGAAAAAAAATAGAGGGTTGCTGCAGGAGAGTTGATTGCCAAATTTTCGCCAAAAAATCGCCAAGTTACCATAATGTAAAAATCAAGCTTGTTGTTTAGTGTCTAGACTGTACAATTCGTAGATGTTTTTTAAAGTTGAAACAGAACGCTGTGTACATGGTATTATTTGAAATTTATTGTTGTTATGTTATTTTATTAAGCGAGGGTGCGTAGATCGTAGATTCCTTCCTTGCCTAAATTGGTGCAAATTCGTAGAATTTTTTTAAAGTTAAACAGGATGCTGTAACTGGTATTCTTTGAAATTTATTGTTGTTATGTTAATTTATTAAAGCGAGGTCTGCGTAGTTTGTAGATTCGTTCGTTGCCTACATTGTGCAATTCGTAGATGTTTTTTTAAGTTAAAATATGTCGCTGTGTACATGGATTCTTGTCAAATATTTTTGGTTAGAAACTTTACGTTTTTGCTATCTAAATTTTTTGTTTTTGTTTCGGATTTTTAGCTAAATTGTGTGTTCAAAACATAGTTTTTGCATGTGCGAAAACCACGTTTTTGGAGACATTTTAGGCTAAAAGTTCAAAATGTAGACAAAAAATTTAGATAGTAATACGGCAGCGTGAAGTTTCTCGCTAAAAATATTTGGCGAGAAATTTGGCGACGTGAGGGCGCATATCAGAGTAGTTAAAAAAAAAAAAAAAAAAAAAATCAGGTCATTAAAAATCTCACCTTGCTGCAGTGCTTTCCTGTTTAGCAGATGGTACAAAATTAACGCCCATGGTTATTTTTAAAAGAAAGATGATGCCAAAATGTAATTTCCCAATTGGTATTTTCATTCATGTTCATGATAGGATAGATGGACAAAAATGACATAAAACTGTGGATACAAAATGTTTGGCAAAAGCATCCCATTGCCTTAAAGAATCCAGAAATTCTTTTAGTTTGAGATAAGTTCAGATGAATGTAATTGAAAATATGAAAAAAAAAAAAAAAAAGAGTTGAAAGAATGTAATACAGACATGGCAGTTATTCCACATGAATTAACGCCATTACTTCAGCTTTTAGATATGTATATGAATAAAGCATTCACAGAAAATTTAAAACAAGAGTGGAATAAGGAAATGTTAAAAGGTTGAAAAACATTTAAAACCAAATGTATTATGCCAGTCTAGAAACAGTATGTGAATGGATAATAAAAGCATAGAATGAAATTAATCCCAACATAATTCAAAAGTGATTTAAATAATGCCGTATATCTAACCTGCCCAAGATGGAACCAAAGATGATTATTTAATATGGATCAGAGTAATAGTGATGGTGAAGATAAAACAGAATTCAATGATGTGCTGAAGATATACTGAAAGATAAATATGACAAACTCTTCCTGTTATTCAATAATAAAAATCTTTAAGTTCATAAGGTATGCCTTTTCTTTTAGTAAAACAGCATGTAGAAATCTAATTTTTGTAAGCTCATCTTTTCCATGCAGTTTTTGTACGCTCATCCATTTTTATATCCAGCATGTTATGTGAACCATAAATTCTGATCTTATATTTTTTTTTATTAAAAAGTGTGTTATATGCCAGAATATACAGTATTTTACAAGCATAATTAATAAAAGCTATTTCTAGCATTGAAATTATGTATATCTGCAGCAGAATTTCATTTACCTCACATGTATCCAATTTTTTAATAAAAGATAAAAACCTAATAATAAAATTCTACACAAACACTATTTGTTATTTTATACATTTTCATTAGTTTCCAAGTTTATTTTGTCAGTAAAAATTGGTTTTATAAGATGGCAACAATGATTATCAATTTTACATAAAAAATAAATTAAAAATTTGAAAAAAAAAAATTTGTACAATGTGTTTTGAGGATATCTCTCTGCAATGTCTGGTTCATTGATGGAATCTAAAACTTTAACAATCTTCATATGAAGTAACAAACTAAACTCTACCGAAGCGCCAAGAGGTTCTTTGCGGATGAAAACCCTTCACATACTATGATTTTCATATTCATTTATCTCCAACATACACTTTTTGTAATTAGTGTCACTTTAACTGTCATCAAATCTAAAATATAATTTAGCGATCTTAGCAAAACTAAATATATGTATAAAGTAATTGAAATTTTTTAGTCTTTTAATAATAAAGAGATAAAAACATAACATTAAACAACAAAGAATACCAAGAAAAACAGACTAAAATTTGCATAAAATTTCGGAATTTCTAAACAAAAGTCACGTTGAAAATTGTCATTACCATTGCATCATACCTCTGGAATACCGGCTCCATTTACACTTTTAGTCTTATTCTTTTGATTATCAGATATTGCTTGTTGCTTAGCCCAGTTTTTAAAGTCTGAACATGCACGACACTTTTTTGGTTGTGATTCATTTTCATCACCATAAACAGAATGCCGGAAACTCATAATGCACTAGTTTCAGTTATTAAACAATACACACACACATATCATGTATTGCCATTGCCAATCGTCTTTTTGCCAACTTTAGTTTCAGTTTTAAAAACTGGTTTCTAGAAATATGACTGTTGCTGAAAGTTAGAAAATATTACTGTTGTTATTAGAAAAAAATTATTTTATAATTATATATAAGGATCTTATTCGGTAGAATTTTTTTTACCTACGAATAATTAAATGTAAGAAATAAGATTGCCCGAGATGTGGTAACCTTGGTTTCAGCACATGCGCAATAAGATCGTTGTTGTAAAATATTGTTGACATAATCGAGACTTAGCTCTCATGATTTTTGTAAACAAGTGTTTTGTTCCGCTTGTTAATAATGTCCTCGGAGAAAAATTATGATGATCTGTTGTATCCTATTCTTTCAAGTGAAGGGAATATCGTGGGTTTCTTTGACAGAGTTTTTGATTTTTTATATCGAAGGTGTGTTTTGTATATCAAAATTACGATTAAAAGATACATCTAGTGAATTCATATGGTTGTATTATGTGCACATCTGCTTTTAAATTGATGATATTTTTTAAATATTCATGATAGTTTTATTGTTATTTGAAATTTAGGACTGATTTCTTCAGGCTCAAGAGCAGTGAATCATCGGATTTAGGACTGCCGGATGGAGAAGCTGAACAAATAGTCAGATGTGTAAGTGAAATATACACTTAAAAATCATTAAACATTGTTACTCAAAACTTTGCGTAATTTTCATTAAAAGAGGAACGCAGAATTTCAGGAAACTTATAAAATATTGTTAATCACACCACCATCAACTCTAAATACGTATTTTATGATTTATCACTGAGTTGGCAGTAATTATTGAAAATATATTATTTCGAAACATCTCAAACTTTCAAAATTATTTAAAATCTGTGGAAAAGTTGGAAAACACAGGGTTGGATTAAGACTTTAAGCACAGCCGACTCTCTCTGACACAGCCGGATAGTGTGCTTTGCTAAAAAAAACGAATTTAAGTTTGCCTAAGTATTCTCAATACACACGGACACAGCCGGTTGTAGAGTTGGCTGTGCTTTAAGAGGCCCTAAGCATTTGGGGGACAGTGCAGAATCACCCACTGCTTGGCGCATTTTTAAGAATTGCACATACTCGTTATCCATGTACACATCAGTCTATTTTCATTTAAAAAAACATCCTAGAATTGCGCAAATATGGCATTGTGCATTCCCTTGACTTTATCCATGTACACATTGACCTATTTTCACTTAAAAAGTCAAAGAAAATTGACAAAAATCCAATTCTTCTTACTTTTGTAAAAGCACCAAACAGATAAGTGGGCGATTCTGCACTTTACCCAGCACTTGAAGGATTTTTAGTACCTTTACATTAATTTAAACTTCCTCCTCCACCATTTCTTCTATCTTGATCTTGGTTTAATTGTACCATTTATACCATTGTAAAATCGAGAAGGGGAAATCTTTATGCCTACTTTCATAAATTCCACGATGCTCCTTTTTCTTGATGCCTTAAGCACATATTTATCTCCTTAATGTATTAATCTGGCTCTGTGTAAACATATATTATATTATACAGTAATATAATAAATTTTGTAATTTGTTTTTTGTAGATTAATTTGTTTTTTAAGTATCCCAACAATTGCTGCTAACAGAAAAATTTTCCTTTTGCCATTTGATGCCAAAATATTAGGCATATTGAAAGTAAGAGAACAGTGTGCTAGGTTATGCCATTTATCTTAAGTGATCAGGTCTTGAATTAATATTAATGAATTTTTCATTAGGTATTTTGCAAATATATGGAACAAGCAGTACTACAGCAAAAATCTGAATCTCAGTATATGGATAACCCAGTTCCTTTAGGTAATAAAGTGCAATTAATTTAATAGTCATGTAATAAGATTTCAGAATGGATATTGTATTATAAAATTGTTTAGTATAATTTTTTCCCTTAATCTTTTGTTTTAGAGGCAGTTAGCAGTTTTCTAAAAAAAATTTGGTTGATCTTTAGATTATGGTAACTTGGCAATTTTTTGGCGAAAATTTGGCGACTAACTCTCCTACAGCAACCCTCTGTTTTTTTTTTTCCCGCCGCCATTTTGTCTTCCACGAAGTAAGTAAGACATTTTCTTTTCTTTTATCTACTGAACACTTCTTCCAACAATTTACATAGCCGAATTACGCTTATGCTAGAAATTTTATCTAACAAAACTGCTTAATCATGACAAATATTCACTGCAAAATTGGGAAAAAGTGCACAATACCATACTCCTTACGCGTTTTTTTCAAAATAACACATACACATAAACCATGTACACACCGACTTATTTTTACTTAAAAAAACATCCCAGAATTACACAAAAATGGCATTGCGCACACTCTTCACTATATCCATGTACATTGCTTTTTTTTCTCATAAATTAGAAAAATTTCACGAAATACATGACAATTTTCTGAATCTTTAAAACCCGGGTAAAAAGAACATATATGAAATTACCTGATCACGAAAAAGTATATACCTTTTCAAATATGAACATTTCCACATATAAAATAAATAAAATATCCAAAAAAACTTTTACCTCTAAATCATCTATTATATTATAAACGTCACCAACGAATCATACTGCAGCATACAAATACTTAGTGTCAAATATTTAAATTATTTCCATGCACGTTTACTTCAACTAAAATGTATACCAATTCCTACAACATAAAAATTCACAAAATAACTATCATTTAATTAAAATATCACTAAAACCATGTACACGTCGACTCTTATTTTACTTAAAAAAAAAAATCCCAGAATTTGCACAAAAATGGCATTGCGCACACTCTTCACCATATCCATGTACACTGCTTTTTTCTCATAAATTAGAAAAATTTCACGAAAATGCATGACAATTTCTGAATCTTTTTAAACCCGTTAAAAGAAACATATATGAAATTACCTAATACGAAAAAGTATATACCCTTTCCAAATATGAACATTTCCACATATAAAATAAAATAAAATATCCAAAAAACTTTTACCTCTAAATTATCTATATTATAAACGTCACCAATGAATTCATACTGCAAACATTACAAATACTTAGTGTCAAATATTTAAATTATTTCCATGCACGTTTACTTCAACTAAAACGTATACCAAATTCCTACAAACATAAAATTCACAAAATAACTATCATTTAATTAAAATATAATTAAATTCAAAAACACTACTTAAAATATAAATAAGCACATACATTAAATTAATAAAAATTAGCTTACAATTCTAATTACTTTAAACTAAATCATTGCTAATAACAATTTTCAATTTTCCCAATAATGCCAAATTACTTTACTTCCATCTTACATTTAGAACAATGCATAAAAGTAATATCCTCAAATAATTAAAAATACTAACTTACCTAATCTTCTTCAGAATCTTGCTTACATGGTGGATACACTTTTATTATGGATTCAATAAAGTTATTGAAAAATTTTTTCTGCGAATTTTTCCTCCACACTTCCTCCGCTAAATAAAAAGCAAAATTCTCTTTATCACAATGCCTCGGAATGGCACTTTTTGTAGCACTCTACGTGCCCTCTGTTGTATTGGTATGTGCACCTGTTTCCGGATCTTTAAAATAATATTTGTGGTTCACAGCAAGATGTTTAAAACCTTCATCTTCCAAACATTCATACGATTTCCAGCAATCTGAAATAATTATAGTACCTGGTAGAATATATTCTTTTATAAAACTTAATAAACAATCTTTACTTCTATCTCGCACAACCTTAAAAAAACATTTATTACTACCCCTTTCAATCCCACCAAACACCCATTTTCCTTCCACTCTCCTACCTCTTCCTTCTCCTTGATACTTCCGCTTCCCAAACTTACTCTCATCAATTTCCACAATAACATTCATACCACCAAGCATACCCATATCATTTTCGCAAAATTCCACGCACACTTCCCAACAAAAAGAATTCCAATCAGCTGCAGTCCTACTGCTAATTTCTAAATCCGAAATCCAATAGTCAACTGGCAATCTATTCACCCAATAATAAGAAATCAATAAAATCTCACCCATACTCAAACAACTTTCAGCAAACCACGTACCCTTCATTACACTCCGTTTCACAAAATGTCCATTTTCACCAGATTTCTTGCACCGCCATTCAAACTTATCTGTAATATCCTTCCTTTCACACAATCTCATTTCATTCCACATGTTGGACATTCATACTTATCCACAATTAAACCTACACTCGTATGCACCATTCAACCAATTCTTTTGAATTATCACACAAACGCATTAAAAATCTTTGAATTCACTTTAGATAGCGCCATGCAATCCCAAAAATTAATTCAACCCTACTTCGCACAACACACAATGAAGCTTAATACAAAATGCAGCTATAGTACTGCAGATGTTTTTCCAAATTTATCCCCTTTTCCGATTAAAGAACCTGTAATTTATTTGTCCATTAATATCACATGCCATATCTCATGATCTCTCATTTCCCTCACACAAAATAATGCATAATCGGAACTGAGTACTGCTCAGATTATTACCAAAGTCCCAGGTAGTAACCTTTATCGCCTCCAAAATGTCGCCAAACTACCAGTTACCATATTTTAAAGATCAGCCAAAATTTTAACGAGTTCCTCTTTTATTTTGCCATACATATTGTTCTAGTGCTTGTTGTAGTTCTGCAAAAATGCTTAACCCCTTAACTGGTTTGCCCGTACAGTGTACGGGCTACTGATCATTGGGCACATCTGGTTTGCCCGTACGGTGTACAAGCATCGATATTTCCCCCGTCTTATTTTTGATTTGCCCTGTATTTTTAATATATTGAAAGAGAGGCTTTAGTAATTAGAAGATTTCAATAGATGGCGTAGCTTGTCCATGCCTATTTAAAATCATTCTAACCAGTTTTTCTTTTGTTACCGGAAGTCGAAAGTATTTTGCATTCTTGGTTCTTGAAAGTTTTGCTACACGGTTTTTCTGGTTGTGAATTCAAAGCTCTTTAGTTATGTATGATACAATAGATGATGTTACTTTATTGTTAGATGCTTCTGATGATTCGGGATACAAATTCAGAACTGTCTTGTAATGTTCTGGATAATTCTTCAGATGACACGTGTAGTGAGCTTCAACTCCGATGAAGACTTGACTTCTGCTAGAAATTTTATTGAAATTGATATGGAAAACCCCCACCTCTTGCTGTGTCCCAGGTTTCAATTTTACTGGATGTTCCAGCAGTAAATATACAAATTGATGATACTTCTGATGAACTACAATTTTATGAAGCATTTATTGATTCTTCTTTGATGAATAAAATTGTGGAAGAAACAAACAGATATGCGACACAGTGCATCCAGTCAAGCACTGCAAAAAAATTCTCAAGAAGTAAATTTTGGGAACAAACAACTCAGGAAGAGATGCATATATTTTTTGCTTTGGTTATACTGCAAGGAATTATAAGGAAGCCCGCAGTTGATCAGTACTGGAGTAAGAGACATTCCATGTACACGCCTTTTTTCCCCCAAATAATGACTCATCGTCAATTTCACCTTTTGCAATGATACTTACATTTTTCGGATAATTCAGCATTTGATGCACAAAGTCACAAATGCCCAAAATTAGTGAAATTGTGGCCAGTTTTGAAACATCTGAATGAGAAGTTTCGCTCGACGGTGACACCACAACGTGATGTAACTATAGATGAAAGCCTTATGCTTTTCAAAGGAAGATTAGGGTGGAAGCAGTATATTCCCCTAAAAACAGCAAGATTTGGAATAAAATGCTTCATGCTGTGCGAATCTGATTTCTGGTTATGTATGCTCTGTAATAATATACACAGGCAAAAACACAATTCTGAAACCAGAGTTTTTTTTCAAATCTATGTATTTCGTCACAAGTTGTTATGACAATGATGCATCCGTTACTGCATAAAGGATATTGTCTTACGATGGATAACTATTATTCCTCGCCAGAATTAGCTGATAAATTAATTTCGTGTCGAACGGATACATATGGCACCCTGAATCTAAAGAGAGAAAAGAAGTCCCAAAGGAAATGCAAAAGAAAAAACTAAAAAAAGGAGAAATCATTGCATTTCAGAGAGGAAAAGTTACTGTTATGAAGTGGATGGACAAAAAGAATGTTTCATTTACTGTCTACTATTCATAATACTGCAAAGGTAGAAATACAGGTCCGCTCCTGAAACGAAACAGAAACCAAAAATTGTTATGGATTACAATAACACAATGGGAGGAGTAGACCGCATGGACCAAAATTTGAAAAATTTTGAAGTCATTAGAAAGAAGAGGAAAAAAATATTATAGAAAAAATTTTTTCCACATTTTTGATATTGCCGTATGGAACTCATATGTCGTATATTGTAAAAAATGTGGAAAGAAAACTCAGTTACAGTTCAGACTTGATCTTGTTGACAGAATTATCGAGAAATACCATTCTGGGATGACTTGCAAATATGGACGACCTGGTTCTGAGCCTAATCCTTTGAGACTGACTGAGAGACACTTCATAGAAGTTATTGCTCCAACTTAGATTAAATTAGAGAAAAAACTTAGACCTGCCAGACAATGCGTTGTATGCTGTTCCAGGAGGAATGAAAGTGGAAAGAGAATCCGAAAGGAAACATGGTATTTCTGTTCCTGATTGTGATGTAGGACTTTGTCTGACACCGTGTTTTAAATTGTATCACTCAAAAAAGGACTACTCAACAATGGTATTGGAAGTATGAATTTTTAACGTATGGTAAGTTTTCTTTTAGATTCGCAGTTCGTGAGATCTGTATAATAAGGTTTCACTGCATAAACTCCGTGATTACAAAAAGCCAACAAAGTAGGGGCATTTGTGTTACAAAGTTATAAAATAAAAAAAATGCTTGAATTATTATTTATCAAATTTTTTTTAAAAAATTCTTTCATTTTCCTTTTATACTAAGTTAGGCCTTTAATTATATGCAATAAAAAAATATGCTTTTTTTTTGGAACATTTCTGGAAATAATTGACCAGTTAAGGGGTTAAGGTGGAATATTTTGAAATGCTGTTAAGTATGTGAAAATTGTTGCTATGCTGTTGACCTTGAAAGTGAAAATTAGTGTTAGAAATTTTAAGCAGTGTGAATTATAGCACTTCTAAAAATCCTTATGTCATTAACTGTGATTTTACACTAGTCAGTGTGTAGTGCAAAGGATTTTCATCAACTTTTTTTATTTACTTTCCCTTGTAAATTCACTTGGATAACAATGTGAATTTTTCTGTTCATAGATTGGAGGAAAAACTAATGGGACTGTATTACTTCTGTTCTGTTCTATTGTAATTTGTTTTAAAATTTTATAGGAGGTTCTAGTTTCAGTTCTTTTTTCCCTTCTGAAAGAAGTATGTTGAGTCATTATGACTTCGTAAAGAGTTACTAATATTTCTAAATTAATTTTTTTGGTACTTGCATGTTATACCGTCGACTGACCAAGTAACTTGATTTAGTACAAATTAGGGACGACTTCCTTTAGAATTCTGCAGCAATGGTTGCTGAAATTTCCACCAATGGTTGACGAAATAAGTACTTTTTTTACTATTAGTTGCAGAAAAGTCATGAGATTGTTTAGAACTTGCCATTTTGATAAGAAAAAATTTTTATGAAGATAGCAAAAACTATATTTTGGAAATATTACAAAAAAATTATTTTTAGTTCATGTCATTATTTATTTAATGTTTTTAAAGTTAAGGTATAGTTACAAAAAGTATTTTTCAAATTAGGGACGACTTCCTTTAGAATTCTGCAGCAATGGTTGCTGAAATTTCCACCAACGGTTGACGAAATAAGTACTTTTTTTACTACTATAAGTTGCAGAAAGGTCATGAGATCATTAGAACTTGCCATTTTGATAAGACAAATTTTTTATGAAGATAGCAAAAACTATATGTTGGAAATATTACAAAAAATTATTTTTAGTTCATGTCATTATTTATTTAATGTTTTTAAAGTTAAGATATAGTAACAAAAAGTATTTTTAGTTGATTTGATTTTTAAATTAGTTTTGAGCTGTTAGTCTTGCTTTAAAATATCATAGGTATAATTTTTAGTTAAGAATAAAAATTTAAGGACTTTTCACCAAATATTTATTTTGCAACGGTTCAAAATCATTCTACACCCCTCCTCTCAACTGAAGCATAATTTTAATGCAAAGATACATAGTGTTATTATTTTTTTTTTGCTTCAGCATAATTTTTTTTTCCTAGCTAACAAACAGTGGAAAGCCTCTTCTGTGACCAGTATTTCCCATTTCTCTGATGTCATTTGATAATAAAAATTTCTTATTTTTGACTTAAAACTTTTGCTGTGTTATAGTCTTATTAACTGCAAATTTTCTTGTTGATATCTGAGAGGCTCTAAAGATTTTAGATTGGCAGATTCTCGGTCATCTACTATGTTTTAATTGTATGTTTTATTATTATTTTAAATGTAAAATTCTTTGATGTTTTTAGGTTGCAATGTTTTTATTAATTTTGAATATATATATATATATTTCTTCTAGATTATGTTGCTGAAGAAACAGTTGTTACTACATCTGAAAATGAGAAGCAGAACTCGGCTGCTATTGAATCAATATCAAGTAATATGAAGGAAGAAAAGAATGAAAATAAAAGACTTGATGACCAATCGTATGGCACTGCAGTCAGTTTTGACATACTGGTTTAATTTAAAACATGAATGATTGATTTTTAGTTTTATTAATAAGTATTTTAAGTCGGGTCACAGGTCAACATAGTTCTAAAATGAACTATTTTAAAATTGTTTTGGGCCTCAGTTCAACTCATAAGCATCCATTAAAAAACAATAATGTTTAAATTTGGATGTTGTTTGATGTTAAAAATTAAAAATGTTTGGTTCATTAGCCATTTATAATCCTTATGTCATGACAAGTGTTGCAACTGCACAAAATACAAGGATTTTTATCTTTCTTTCGGCCCCATACATAGCTAGTTCTGACACTATTGCTAATAGAACAATGTGTAAGTACACAAAATTGGAAACAATAATAGTATATAAATCTGTGAATGTAAAAGTAAGATAATGACAAAATGGGAACATTTTAAATTTTTGAAGTAAGCACATGAACAGTTAGATTTATAAGTAAATTGGAAATGTGTGAGTGTTGAAGCCAGTATCATATAACAGTAAGCAAAAACAAAAATTCCAGTAAGTTATTCAATTTTAAGGATTTTTATTTGAGGTACTTTTCCGTTTCGCCGGTGCAAATCTCGCCAAGCAGACTTTATTGGCGACACAGTATACACATAAAAAATTTTAACTTCTAAGAATTTTTTATTTTGAAAGCATAAACATTTTAATATTGTTTAAAATTTTGTAAAAAGACATTAATTAAATTTAATATGCTTTCATGGTACAAAACATCCTGATTTGTCGGTTCATATCACGTGACCCCAAGTGATTTCATCTCACGCAAGCTACGCTACAAAATTCTAATTCTCTCAGTAATTATCTACATTAATTTCAAGTTAAATCTTAATATGGAATACATACAAGTTTAAATGCAAGAATTATTTCAATTTATATGAATAGCTTAATCAGAGACTATGTAAAACCGCCGTGCTTTACTTCGCTAGGGCATTCGCATTAGAATTGATGAATTTAACCCTTGACTTTGTCTTTTCTATATTTTTGCTTTCGGGTGAGCGGTGAGATTGCATCTTAATTGACTTAATAACCGTGAATGGCCTTAGGGCATAAAATTGAACTATGTGGTAAAAATTCTATGTAATTGTATGCTAGTATTGAAAGAAACAATCAATCTGATAAGAAATGGCTGCGACTTGTTTTGAAAATGAGGCGTAAAAGGTTACCAGCGAGGATATTCCGTTTGGCATTGGTTGTACCACTTTGGCGACTTTATTGCCTGCATTGGCAAAATGGAAAAGTACCCACTTTGATTATATACATCCCCCCCTAAAATGTTAGCAACTAATTTTTTTTGCCAAGCTAAGACTCAAAGACAATAGCTGTTTTTAAAAATGGTAGCATTCTGAGAATTACCTGTGATTAACAAAATTAAAGACAACAAACATCCACAATAAAACATGTAACATTCTTTCTTTTCACTGTTCTGGTCATGTACACAGTGATCTATTTTCACTCAAAAAAAAAAAAAAAAAACATCAGAGAACTGCACAAATTGGCATTGTCCGTGTACGTATTTGAAATTGTCATGTACAAAGTGCTTAAGAAAAATTTGCTTAAAAAATTGCTATTTTTGCTTTAAAAGAAAAAAAAAAAAAAAAAAAAAAAAAAAAATACGAATTTGTCATTGCCCATGCTGTTGTTTTCTCATGTACACAGCAATTTTTTTTTTTTGCTTAAAATGAAGTCAGAGAATTGCATAAATTTTCATCCATAAAATTTTGATCATTTATAAAGTACTTCATGGAATGTGAATTCTTGCATTATCTCCTATTGGGCAAAATGCTTTCTGAAAAAATACAATGTTTTCTTTTTGGTCAGCGAGCAAATCCCAAAATCCCATATGAATCTTTACAAGGAAAAGTATGAAATCAGTATAACAAAAATAAACTTTAAAGATTGGTGCCCATCTGCTGTGCACTAGACCTGGTTGCCGTATGAATATATTTTGGCAACATCATGAGTTGCCCATTTTAGTGTCATAGCACATTGCCTCATGAATACTTTTAAAGGGTGTATGGATAATCAGAAACTACCAGTTTTAATTTTAGAGGCTACCACAAATTATAGTTTTTCAAATTTGTGAAGTTTTTATCATGCACATTCGTTGCATGTACTTGTGTATGAGTTTATTTGACAGTTGTAAGAATATGGTAAAAAAGGGGGGGAATCTGTATAAATTTCATTACATTTTGACTAAGAGAATTTTGGTCTGACTTAAAGATGATGATGATTGAACTAGTGATCTTTTCCTTCAGTATTAGGCAATCATCAACTTTCACAGGTAATCTTTATTTAAGCATTATTCATAGAATAATAATAAACAGAAACCAATGCAAATGTGGAGATCAGGACATCCATGTTTAATAACATCAAGTGTATATTTTAAATATTTACAGCATTATAGTTGGTGGGAGGAAAAAGTGGCAGCAAATGGCATGGTACTAACATAATTTTTCTTCACCAGATATATAAAGGAAAACTGTGTTAGTGTAATCAATCAGAAATGAGAGTTTTTTTCCCTTCCTTAAATAGGGGATATGCACTTTATTGAGTCATAAAGGTTTTGTTTAAATACTTTTAGATAAATGATTTTACTTTCGTTTTTGCTGTAATGTAAATATGATTCATGAATGATAGACTTCAGAAAGATTTATTAGAAGATTCAGAAAGATGTATTAGAAGCATTTTAGTATTTTTAGAGCAGAAAGAAAAACTAACCAAATTATAAAGTAGACTTTAACAGTATTACAAATTAAAGTTAATATATTATTTTTTATATAAATATATATACAATCAAAAGTTAATTCGGACACCCATAATCCGGACCTCAAAGCTAAAAACTTTCTGCGCATGTGCCGTGTTGACACATGCGCATAAGACCTCTTTCGACTTCGCATTTGCGTGTGCGCAAGCGCAGAATACGTTTTCGCGTGCTCGTTTTATGTATAACGGATGGTATAAGCTAAAATTATCTAATTATCTATTTCAGTTAATGTTGATGATTGTGTTGTTCATTAATTTTCGAATTGGATCTGGCTTATTATTTTTTGCAGACTGTAAGAGCAATACTATAAAAGTAAACTAGAACTTTCGATTATGTCAAATAGAATTTCCGATTCTGGAGCTCCCAAAGGATCTTACAAAACGAAAGTCTGTTTCGATGTCCATCAAACAAAAAGTGGAATTGCTGCAAATTTTTCATGTCTTTATCCATTTTTTAGGTTAGTGAAAACGAAAAAATTTCGATTGACAAGTTAGTCGGTATTCTCAGCACAGCAATTACGGGACTTGAACAGCGGAACTTTGTAACTGAACAAGAAATTATGTCTGTTTATAGAATTAAGGAGAAAGTATTATCACATAAAACGAAACAACTTACATTGAAAGAAATTTTTAATAAAAGTAAACAAATAAATATTAAGCTTTTTTTTTTTTTGTAAATTTTGATACCCTTTAGATCATAATTGTTCTTTATTTCATAAATTACGGTTTCATATTTTTAATTGTAGAATTTCTGCATGCCATCTTACGCGATTTAAACTGATGATCTATAATCCGGAATCGCTGAAGTCCCGACGAGTCCGGATTAACGACTTTTGACTGTACTGTGTGCATAAATGTGCATTTATTTAATCATTATTTTTACAATCTTTGCTAGTAGACACATACTTATAGTTACAAAAATATTTTAAATGATTCAAATATTCTTATTTAGGTCTTATATTATTCAGATTTGCATTTTTTAATTTGGAAAATCAAATTTGTAAATATTGTGACATCAATTTTTTATGTGGTTTCTCGTAGTAAAAATTTATACTCATTATAAAAAAATAAAGCAGAAAATATTTGACTCCTTTGCAACAAAAATTGATAGAGATATTTAATTTCAAAATTTGGAATATTGTTGTTTCCTTCACCTTGCCTTATGGCAATAAAATAAGGTCAGTCAAAAAGTAAATTAGACTAATTCTAGATTGAATTTTTCCCTATTATGTTAGAGATATTCCTTTCTGATTTAATTGTGTGTTGTAATTTAATTTGTAATTTTGTAGTATTTGGTATCTAAAAGCATTTTTACACAAGTAATTTATAAATTTTTAAATGCTAAAAATACATTAATAATATTCACATACAGTTTTATTATTTTAATATCATAAGGTAATAGTCACATAAAAAATTCAGTGGAAGTCTTCACTTTTAATTTATGCAATAATGGTGCATTGGCAGGCCATGAGTGAAGTAGTCCTCTGTTTTATAAAACAGGAATTCTCCAAGATTCTGTACAGAAGATCTTTTGCAAAAATTTGTATTGATGAAACTGTTTCATAACAATGTTGTCACTTAATCTATTAATAAAAGAGCCTTTCCAGTGGTAGCATGTTTAAGACTACTAAATAATATTAGTTCAACTCAGGCAAATGAGTTGGCTGCTTAGTGGGTTATGGTTTTCCCATGTGTAATATGAATATGAGCCAGATTCCCTTAGAAGTCCTCCATGAAGGCATCTCTCCACATAAGCAGATACCCTTTGTGTGCTGCTTGAATAATCCTTAGAGCTTCTTGTGGACAGGTGGGAGGGCTGCTTCTCACAAACAAACAAACCCTTTGTCAGATTCATCTAACTTATTAACATTATGAATCTTTTTCTAAAATATTGTTTCATTTTTACTTATGTACAGATTTAAATACTTTAGTCTTCAATTTATATATGGCCAATGAGCATAATCTGAAATTTTATATACATCAGTCAATGTTTATCGACAGAAGTGACACTTTTTGTGTTTTATTTTTTGAAAACAATGTAAATTTTTACTCAGTGTTGCTCAACATGAATATTTTCCTTATTTAAAGCATTCTTCTAACTGGAAGTGTATATTTAATGGCCTACAGTTTTGAAATAAAGGCTGCATGATGAGTACTTTTATGGACAAGTTATATCTAATTTAAAGACCTTGGGGTC